CACTGACAGAACATTAAAGGCTAAAGGGACAGAAAATAGCAACACATAATCCCCACTAACGGGGTTCTTAACAGATCGCCTATGTCTTGAAGGGACACAGTACATCGAATGATAACCATGCAGGGTGCGCCCAAAAGTCATGAATTGACAATACCATGATAAGTAAGAAAAGGATACTACGGGGGGGTGCGTTTGGAGTTAAATAAACAGTTGAATTCAAATAACTGAATATCAGTTATAAACACTCTGGCTGTCCCTGTGGTACGATAGTTTCGACATCCTTATCTAGACCATATCTAACATTAAGTGAATGGACCTCAAAACGAGAAAGCTTCTCACTTACCACCGCTAGCATCATTCTGTTGTTTGTATGCATGTGCCCTGATCCGAAGGAGGCGGAGGATTAGTTCAACATGTCTGTCTTTCAAATCTACAATTACTAATTTTTAAAAGTATACAATGAATTTTTAAAATATGCCTGACGTCAAAGAAACGTAACAGAATTATATCCATTTACAGATGATGAAAGAACCATGAAATGCAAACAGGTTGCTCAGAAATAAATATATCCTAATGCTTCCCCATAATATATACATATGTGCACATATTAAGATCAGATGAGAAAATAAGCAAATAATGAATAAATTATCTATTTAAGTGAGGCACATCTCTGTTTCGACGTTTCCGAAATCTATATCCGTACTTAATATTTTTATTCTATATATAATATCGTAATATAACGTATATATATAATATATATATATATATATATATATATATATATATTATATATATATATATATATATATATATATATATATATATATATAATATATTATTATATATATATATATATATATATATATATATAATATATATATATATATATATATATATATATATATATATATATATATATATATATATATATATATATATATATAATATATATATATATATATATATATATATATATATATATAATATATATATATATATATATATATATATATATATATATATATATATATATAATATATATATATATATATATATATATATATATATATATATATATATATATATATATAACTGAGTACACCTGTCTGCTAGGTTGGCGACCTAATCAATCATCGGCATGCGCACCTTGGGTCATTTCTGCTTCTTCAACACCAAGACTGATAATGCAGTTTATACTGCAATTATGTTGAACAGTCATTAGTAACAATTTTTTGGTGGGTGCATAATCTAGTATGATTAGCAATTGAGCAAAAATTTTGTCTGTCCAATTTGACATTAAAATACTCCTATGGAAAACGAAATGAGGCGCCGTTAACGCCTTCACAATCTGGTAGACACCTGCATAAGGTGATGATTCCTATCTGATGGGATTGTGTGAGCATTGTGTATTTAAGATCTCCATCGACAAAATTCAGATGTTGAATGTAATGTTCTCAGCTTCGACTATTAAGGACAACAATCAATGAATTCAGTCCCAATCAGACAATAGGAGGGGATGCCTTCACAACCATAATCGAATAATCTATATACAGATAACAAAGAGAGACATTTTAACATTTGACCATACCAAGCGAAACATAATACAAGCAAAATAAGTGTATATAACTTGTTTGTAAATGTCCACTGATCAATAACAATTTTGCAATCTGAGCCATAATTATTTGCACGGTTTACATTTGTCGAACTGTTGTTCTCATCTTTGTGTCCATATTTACTACGTTTCGGCCGTTGTACACTCCGGCCATCTTCAGGTGAAGTGAATCTTGGACCAAAGCTTCTATTCCGTCCATCGGGTTAGATTGATCTCTAGGATACATGGCGCAATAGATAAAAGCATTGGTAGAGGTAATACAGGGATTTTCCCCAAAGAGTTTTGAGTTCAATACCTGTCCAAAGCAGAAGTGAAAACTGAGATATCCGGAAGAAGTACGTCACGTGGCACTAGAGCAATTTACTTCGGTGGATGAAATAATTGGTTCGGCTCGAAATTTCAATCACCTGAAAATACAAAGGCAGAAACGTCGTGAATATGACAACAAAGATGAGGAAAACAGTGCGAGCAATATAAATAGTGGAAATAATTACAATACCTCACCTCAGAAATATAGACAGATATTGAGCAATAAACATATGTCAACATACACTTGTAAAAACTTTACTAGGCTTTCATAACAATTTTAAACTTATAAAATATGGGAGCAAAACTCACAACAAACATAATAAACCGTAAGGTGAAAGCAAATGTAATGTATTAACAAAATATCTATAGTTTAGATTATAACTGAAGAAGAAATCTATGATGCCATTTATTCCAATCTTTGCTGTGAAAGTGTAGAAACCGAAACAACTGCAGTAAGAATTTAACAATTATATTAAGCGAACATATAGGAGTTTTAAGAACCGAAATTTGATTAGCCGGCAAATGCACATTCGCCATGCTGTCATATTGAAATAAAAATGGAGGCTCATACACTTCATGTTATTTTGTGAAGGAAAATCAAACTTTAGAAAAATTATAGCAATCGTTATATTATAAAAACATATTCACAATATAATATCCAAGTGAATTTTGTATAGAAACTTGCACTTTAATTGACGTTGATGGATTTGCAACATCGAAGGATTTACTTACCATGATTTTTTTTTCCAAAATCTATTACCGATATGTGGCAGAGTTTACGAATGCGACGAAGGGCAAAACACAGTTTCAGTTTCAAAAAATCAATATTTATTGTCAATCCAAATAAGTAGAATTTCAAATATTTGAAATGATTATGCATAAGCAACATCTCGGAATCAGTTAAAATTGTACTTTGCAAATTAATATGAATGTTAATAAAGTCTCCAGAATATAATCAATACTGTTACTTTATTATTCTTCCTAACATTATACGGATCGTAGGGGCAGCACATAATTGCAGCGGCAGCGGATGCAGTGTATTTCAGACAAGACACACTGACGTAGCCCATCCTTGTTAAGACTAGTTTTGAATTCCTGTTTAATTTTCCTTCTTCAAAACTGATTGGAAAACAAGACACTAGAGTCCAGTTAGAGTGTAGTTATTTAACCAAAACCTAAATATAATATATATATATATATATATATATATATATATATATATATATATATATATATATATATATTTGTTACCGTACGATCACCGTAGTTAAGCAACGTCGAGCCTAGTGTTGTGGAAAATGGCTCGGGGTTGTTAATCAGAGAGTAAAGTTCCAATTCCAGTTGTGTTCGCTATATTCATTTACGCAAATATCCTCGGGAAAGTTATAGATTCATTTCATATCTAAGGGTTAATTAGAAAAATGTATTATTAAAGTTATTATTATCTCATTAAAAATAAATCGCGTACAAAATATTTGCAGTTCGGCATTAAATACTTCATAGTTTGATATGCCGCTAAAACAAATAACGTATATTTATATATATATATATATATATATATATATATATATATATATATATATATATATATATATATAGTTATGGATATGTGCGAGTGTTTTGTTTTTAAAATCTATAATCAGGTAGACTTTCTTTGATTGCTAATATTTATTGCAACACTTATATTTACTTGTAAAAACATTCAAATAAATTTAAAACATGCAAATTACAAGTACGTACTGAATGTAAATGATGTTCTTGGATTTCTTGAATTTTTTTCTTTACAAATTGCCGTTAAATGCCGGAGTAACTAAATGACGTAATCGCAAAGAGGTTTACATTCATTTTTCGTATATTAACAAGGAAATGTACCTACGACTTAGTGTAAAAAGGTACTTATTAGCCTAATCCTCCTAATCTTGTTCTAATCAGATACAAATATCTTTCTAGGAAATTATCTACTTAGCTGACGTGATTATATATAGCGTTAAATAAAACTTTTTCGCTATTTTTATCTATATAAATAAATGCGAACGTTAGTGTGCTACCCTATTTATTCAACTTTAATCCTAATTTTGAAATCGCCCCAACTCCGTCAGCAAATTAAAAACAATCCAACAATCCTGAAAATTTGGATTCTCAAGTTTTCATTACTACTATAGTTTTTGGCGATTTTTTTACGGGAATTTTTGCGACGAATGTTTTTTGTACGATAACAATTTTTATAACTTGGAAAAATTTTGGGTTTAATTGAAATTAATTTCGAAATCCAGCGAAAGTAAAAATAATTGTACGGAAAAGTAAGGACCTGCGTAAATAAAATTGTCTTTAAATTATTGTTGAACTTTTAAAAGATAAGCTTAAATATTAATGCAATAATTAAATGCAGCGATCCATTTTGAGTTTTTCTGTAGGATATTGTTGCTTATCGCATACTGCAAATATATATATATATATATATATATATATATATATATATATATATATATATATATATATATATATATATATATATATATATATATATATATATATATATATATATATATATAGGTAGCTCAGTAGACAGATATAAGTATGTAGGAGATAAATAGAGACATATAGAAATCTCGATATATATAGGTAGTTAGTCATAGGTAGATAGATGTAGCGTGATAGATATAGACAGTGATACCTCGACTTAAGTCGTTTTTTCTTAAGTATTATATGAAATATATGTTACATTTAAACTGTGATTTAGAATATATTTTTGCCAATGGCGCCGAAGAAAAGACCCAGTGCAAATGCAAATGCTAAGCGTAAAGCTATATCGCCGGAAGATAAGGTGGAAAGTAATTATGTTATTCCGTATATTGTACGTACATATCATAAATACAGTAGTAGGCAATACATCGTTCTTATTTGCGGTTTATAGTGTGGTTATTTTAGACTTAAATCGAAGCTCCTGGAACAAATTAATATATATATATATATATATATATATATATATATATATATATATATATATAGCGAGAGAGTGAGAGAGGTATAGGTAGGTAGAATAATATAACGGGAAAGAAATAGATATAGAGAGATTCAACTAAGAGAGGTAGATAGAGAGAGAGAGTATAGGTAGGAGGATAGATATAGTGAGAGAGATATAGGTAGGTAGAGAGAGATAGAGAGATAGGTATAGGTAGGTATATATAGAAAGATAGATATAGTTAGGTAAGTAGCTATAGTGAGATAGATATAACTAGGTACATAGAAAAACGTCGATGCACACAGATGCGGATAAATATCGACAGATATAAAGATAGCAATATATGGAGATAGATTAGTATATATATATATATATAATTTATTATATAATACAATAATATATATATATATATATATATATATATAATTTATTATAAACAAATGAGTATATATATATATATATATATATATAATTTATTATAAACAAATGAGTATATATATATATATATATATATATATATAATTTATTATAAACAAATGAGTATATATATATATATAATTTATTATTGTAAAAATATCAATACGAACAACGGATTATATATCTTACTGTTCTTTCTTTTTTTACTATATATATATATATATATATATATATATGAGGAGAGAATGAGAGAGATATGGAGAATGATGTAGGAAGGAAGATAGATAGATAGATAGATAGATATACAAAGAGAGTTATACAGAGACAGATGCATGGAGATATATAAAGTGAGGGGGATATAGATACGCAGAAACATACCGAGACTTATAAGGAGAGTGATATAGAGACAGAAATTATAGAGACAGAAATTATAGAGACAGAAATTGTGAGATATATCAACACAGAGATATGGTCAAGGATATCAAGTCAGAGATATCGTGACACGAGATAGGAACAGAGATATCAAGAGCAATATGGACTGAAATATGGAGACATAGATATCAACGCGTATATCGAGAAAGAGATGCGGAGAGACGTATCGAGACAGGAAATAGTCAGGGATATCTTTACCAACATATGAACAGAGATGTCGAGACAGAGATAGGGACACTGATATCGAGACAAATATGAAGAGAGGGATATATCGAGACTGATATATGAAGCGAGAGAGAGATATATAGATGCGGAAAGCTATATAGTGATATGGAGACAGATATATAAAGAGAAAGATAACTACTTTGGATTAATCATTTCTTAATGGAAGTGGAAAAACAGCTATTTATTAACATCGTTGCAGATTACACAAAATGTTACACGGACATCGGAAATAGCGAAAGATGACTTTCACAATCTCAACAAATTAAAGGATAAAAATATCCTTCGAATAAAAGTAAGAATTTACTAGATTACTATATTGTATGTAATCTTCTATATGGTATTGAATATTGGAAAATCTCCTCAGAGATGAAGAAGAGAGTTGAAATGGCAGCGATGTAGTTCTATTGATTTATGATGAAACTAGCACAGATAGAACATCTGAATAATGAAGCAGTCTTAAGGACAATAAGAACTACAAGGAAACTGATGCTAACTAGAAGTAAGGCTTCGCTGATATTTCTGTGTATTTCTGACTAAAAAAAGGCTTAGATTATTCTCATAGGGCATATTGAAAGTAAGAGATGAGGTGTTTTTTTTTTTTTTTATTTTTTGTTTTTTTTACATAATTATTTCATTGTCAGCCATGGTGAAATGCCACTAAGACGCCAAGGGTTACTGAGAGTGAAAGAGAATGAGGAGACATTAGTGAGAGAGTACAATAGAAAAAAGGTTTCAGGAAGACTGAAGATGGCGATTGAAATACAAAATCGTGAAAATCGTAGGTGGCAGGAAGCAAGAAACCGGGTGATAATTCCACAGGCGGAAAGTGCGAGAAACGAAAAAAGTGACTGTGTGCTAGAAGAAAGTCCCGAGACAAAGAGAGAATGTGAAGAGGCAAGTGTTACTTAGAGGAAGAAAAACAGAAATTTATGGAGAGCTATTATTTCCCATCTCCTAAAAGGACATGGCGTATGAACGATGAACAAGTTGGATTTTCATATGAAAATCTCTCTGGGTATTATTCTCTCTACATAATTAATTGAATCGTTAATTCAAGTGTATTAACCAAGAAGATTATAATTTAAAAAAAAAATACTGTTCAGTGCTTAAATACCTTTTTCGTCCTCAGGCTACTGAAATATTGATGCAACTACTAGAAAAAAATTATAAAAAGGGAAACGAATGAGATCAACACAAACAAAACTGAAATACGGCGAATGAGACTGAATTGAAAAGAGAATGTAAGTAAAGCGAACAGGAAAGATTCTGAAACAGATGCATGAGGCATTTTAATGATAAGTTCAAAATACACATCATCAGAGTAAATTTCACAAGATCTTCATATTTCATAAACAGAAGACTAAGTCAATAAAAACTTGTTTACAAGAAGAAAACCGTTTCAATGCTATGTCAGGCCTATTATTCAATACCAAATATTGCATAGCATTTTTCACCTCCTGCATTAAGTGGCTATCTTTGTTTCTGCATAGGAAAGGTCAAATTTCAATGAAACTCTCAACATCGATTGCCGAGCTAATAAATCCTTTTATCAGCAATATGGACGAAGGAGAAATGCATTGATACACGATAATCCCTGCTACACGTTGACAACGGAGGAATGGAATCATTCTCGGAGTATATGGCTCAACAGATAAAAACGTTTAAATTTAGGGCCACTAATCTTCTGTCTTTTCCCACAGTTCCATATACACGCAAAGGCACAAACGCACAAAGACAATTACAACGCTCACACGCCTCCACATGTATGTGGGCTTGCATAATGTATATTTATATTGATTGAATTAAATACTATGACAGTTCAAAACGTAAGCACTCACGGCTTTCCATAGATTCATTTTCTTTATTATCTTTTAATTGCCATATATTCTTAGGAAAGATAGTGGAGAGGTTTCTCATTTTCTTTCTCGAATATAATTATGATACATGCCTACATGCAAATAAATATACAAAATGTACAAAGCTTAACACAAATGGATAACAACCATATATATATATATATATATATATATATATATATATATATTATTATTAAATAATATACACATATTGTGTCTATGTATTTTTATACTGATCAGTTACAATAAATGTGTCTTTGTAATTTACCTGTGAAGATAATCATGATAGAAAAGATCTGAAGTATTTGGCTTAAAAAAAGACTACGGCGTCTTCATTGAGGTATTCCATCTTAACATCAAAATAAGAGAACTTCGAAGGGTTCCAGTATTGTGTTATTAGGTGGAGTATTTTGAGACTTCATATTATACGTTTCTCTTTGTTTTTTTAGATCATCCTGATCTAAAAACAATATATATATATATATATATATTTATATTATAAATTAATTGATTTAAAATGTTTTTTCCGCTACACAGTTCTAATCATGTTTCAAAATGGAAGCTAAAATATCTTACTGTCCTTTCTTTTTATTTAAATAAATAAATATATATATATATATATATATATATATATATATATATATATATATATATATATATATATATATAGGAAGGAGAGAGAGATAGAGGGAGAGAAAGATTAATATATGTGTGTGTATGTGTGTGTGAATGCCAAGAAAAGCCAAAAACGTTGGTGGAACTGAGAAATTGCCAAAAGGCTAAAACCCTCATCAAGATAAAATCTCGAACCAAGACAGAAAAAGGAAAAAAAACTTAATATAAACACCTACCTACTGAATAAAATAAATCTCTCGAAGACCAGGTTAATTATACTGGTCAAAAAACACTTCAAACATTAACTTCCTCCCACCAAAGGATGGCCCCAGTGGTAACTCTAATTTCACGATTATAAAAATCTGTAGACGACTTGTACGCTTTATATATATATATATATATATATATATATATATATATATATATATATATATATTTACAGAGAGTATATAATGAGAGAGAGGCGTAAGGTATATATAGAGAGAAAGATAAATATATAAGGAGAGAGTGAGCAATATATATATATATATATATAAGATATGACCTGACGATTGCATCTAGCAGGAAACAGCCTGTCGCCTCTAAGTATTGATTCAATGTTCACTTATATATATATATATATATATATATATATATATATATATATATATATATATATATATATATAAGAGAGAGAGAGAAAGCGACGGTCAACGGCGCGGAAACAAAACTGACTTCATGTTCTGATCGGTACATTTTTTATTCACTTCGCATTAAAAGACTTGGAACAGACACGAATCCTCCTGCCTCAAGATACGGGTTAAGTAGCAGGACATTTAAAGCTTTGATGCCTTGGATGGCAGACACTCAAAGGGAAAGGAAACTGAATTGAAATCTGAAGTGAACAGTATGGGGACGTTCTGAAACTTTGTGCTCCCATCTCTGTTTAAATACCTTCTGAAAATGTTTGCTGATGCCATACAAATTTCAGTAATATAATCAAATCATATGTATGTCACTGGGGCGACTCTCATACGCCATAATATATTTAAAAAAGAGTTTTTAACCCGACATTTTTCCTAAAAACTACAATAGTTATTTTTAGTGATTTCACGTATTTCAGTTGCTCTTCCAGTTTTTGTCTTTCTGATTTTTTTAATCGAACTCACCCCAAGCAAGGTAGTAAAGACACAAAGGGGTTACTTGGAGGGGAAGAATTAGGAACAAAAACATTAATAATGAGCGGGAAGAGAAAAGAGTAATCAGGAGGACAGTAGATAGCAACTGACATTGCATTTAAACTTTTATAGATTAAATTTGGCTGCAAAGCATGGATCCAGAAAAGAGTTCCACAAGCGAGAATTGCGAGAAAAGAAACAGTTAGCATAGAATTCACGGTTACATTTAGACAGCTCAACTACAAGTTGATGTGATCTCAACGCCAGTCTAATACTGCGCTTAAGTTCAAGACATCTAGTAACCATAGCGAAAAGCTCAACTGAATAATTACTATGAAATATTTATAGAAAAGGCAATAGGAGGCAACTTATGCTGGTGGGAGAGTGACTGAATCCGAGCCACCAGATCAGGACCAATAATATTTCTGTTTCTATTTTGGATTTTATGAAGTAGCTCAAAGCAAATAACAGGGTCACCGGACCATATGTGAAAGGAATATACTAAGCATGGATGAATTGTAGGCTTTAGATATGTAAAATAGATTCTAGAGAGAAACAGTCTTGCATGACACAGTGAACCAAATTTCTTAGAAGCTGACCTAACAATGGATTCAACATTATTTCCACTTAATATCAACTGCGATCGTTAGCCCGAGAAGTCACAATTCTTTACGTTCCTGAAGGTTTGCATCAGAAAAGGAACTCACAGGTGATTAATGTAGAGTAGTTTAGTTTTGGAGACGTTAAAATTGACAAGGCATCTTTTGCCCCAATTAACAAAGGACTTGTGATCGTTTTGGACAGCGTCTGCCAACTTGTCGGACAGATCAGATTTACTATCAAGGCAGGAGTAAATAACTGTGTCATTATCGTAGATATTAAGTTAAGAGCTAATGTCATCAGGAAGGGCATTAATGAAAATTTAAAAAAAACAAAAAGTAGGACAATGACTTTTCAAACACCTTTCCACACCAACAGTTCGGTCTTCACTGTTTTTATCTAGAGCATGATAGACTCTTTCCGCAATTATCATCGGATCATCAGCAGTTGTCCTGGAGAAACAAAAGCCATGTTGCTTGTCTTAAAATGGCCCTGCAATGAGAGATGATGAAACAATTGAGCATTGATTAGGGCATCTAGTAGTTTCCCAAAAAGAGCTAGATTGATTTTTTTTTCTTTCTTTTATTATTTTGTTAATAATGTCCTTGCTTGAAGAAATGACACAGGTTAATTCCTATCGGAAGGCACAATTTTCTTTACGACTGTGATCTAGGTTGTTATTAATTTCACGGTTTAAAAAATTAAAAAATATGCAGGTATAGCCACTTACACTAGTACCCACTAAAATAACGTTTACAGTTTGATTGTTTTGTGTTATATGGCTTAATAATTTTTTAAATTGTAGGAATTTTAGGAAGATCATGATTTACTGATACAAGACCTACTAATTAATCCATAGCTGGGG